GCTGGACCCAGTATTACCCGATCGATGTGGTGTTTGATACCGGAGCCAGATGTAGAACCGCCAAACCCAAATATCTGTTGCACACAGATTGCGCCGGTGTATTACGGCTTGGAGGCAGTGTGCAACCGACCCTGGACTCTCCAGGTGGTGATACGCAGTTACAAGATTCCACTGCGATCTCCACCTTTCCTGTCAAAAGCCCTGCACATAATGATGCACCCAGTGAATCAGCGACACCTTCGACTGGCCCATTTGGGCCAAGTAGTCGACATAAGAGTGCTCCCCATCGGTTATGCATGGCTTTATGCGTGTTCACCAGAGTGTTGAAACAGGTGGTGCTGCTGCTGCACCAGGCGTCGGTACACATCAATCCGTATCTAGCCGACTGGTTGCTACGCAACCCAAACAAGGGGTTGTTGGCCTGGAGCAAGTAAGGCTAACACAGGATTTACTACACCAGTTGGGCTTCCTAGTAAATCAAAAAAAGTCCCATCCACACCTAACAAAGTGTTTGGGTTTCTGGGCATGGAGGTCGACACAGAGGCAGGGTTTGATACAACCATCACAGACTCGTTGCCTAGCACTGAGCAGCATAGACAAACGTCTAGTCAACGTTCCCTCTGTGTCTCTCAGAGAGCTGATGCGTATCATCGGAATGATGATCTCAGTTTGCAGGGTAGTTCCCCAAGCTGCATTACGCAGCCACCTGGTGTACACTTTGTTGCAGCACCGGGTTCCCCTACGGGAACTGGAGAGGAGAGTAACTCACGAACCAAGCAAAGGATGCCCTGCCCTGGTGGACAATTGCCAACCTCAGGCAGGGGGTCCCCTGGACCTATTCGCCACGGCTATGACACCTATTGGACGAACAAGCCCAAGAAATATGGCCCCTGCATTGGGTTCAGGGCCACCAAATCAATTGACTCGAACTGAAAGTTATGCACTTAGCTGATATACTTTCTACCCATAGTTCGAGGCAACAGTCTTGCTTTGCATAGGCAACACAGCGATGGTCTCCTATATCAACAAGGAGGGGGCGCAGATCTCCATTGCTGTCAGTTCTGGTGGAGAAAATTATCCTTTGGTACCTGGAATACATTGTGGAGCTAGCTGCACACCACCTTCCAGGGGTGTGAAACAGTCAAGTGGATGCTCTCTTGCGGTGACTCTGTTTCCAGAATGTGGAGTGGCAGATACCCCAAGGGGTAGCCTCCAGACTGTTTGACGGTAGGATGGTCCAAAGTTAGACCTATTCACAACACCCCGGAATGCCAAGCTCCCGACATACGTGACAATCTGCTCAGTCCAGGAGCCATGGTTCATGGACGCTTTGTCGATCCTGTGGGCCACATGAATGCGTACGCCTTTCCTTCCTTCCCCCTAATTCATGGGTACTTCAACAGGAGTGTACCTGCATTTTGATGCTGGTAGTGCCAAGCAAGG